TGGGTTAGTCTGGTGATGGGTATTAACGAGGGCACGTACTGCATGGAGCACTGGGTGTTACACGAAAACAATGGATCGTGGATCACCACATCAAAAACCAATGATGTATTGTATGGTGACTAACATAACATAATAAAATTTTTTAAAAAAAAGGTAAAATTAGGATATTTAGAATCTCCTTTTTTTTAATGATAAGCCTCTTTTCTATTGGAAGTGATATTTTGATTGATTCTTCGTTGCTCATTTCTTCTTCCTTTTGTTTATTTTCTTCATCTGAAAGCGTGTTCCTCTGTGTTGTTCACGCTTTACATTCCTCCCACATATTTCAGAGTTACTTTCTCACTTTGGTTTTAAGCAGATAGAGCACCTTTAGAGAGAGGAATAGATGGTTGATCAATGGTCAGGGGAGGCCTGAAATGGTGACACTGGAGCAGAGACCAGAATGGAGTCAGACCAGAATGAGCCTCGCCTGAGGGAAGAGCATCCCAGGGAGAGAGAGCAGCACATCCACCAAAGCCCTGAGAAAGGAATGTGCTTGACCCGTTCAAGAAACCTGAGGCCAGGGTGGCTGGAGTGCAGTGAGCAGGACGAGAGGAATCTGAGATGTGGGGGGAGAAGCCCAAAAGCCCAAGCTGACTTGTAATTGAGACAATAGAGTTTTCTTTCTTTTTTTCTTAGAGAGAGAGCGAGCCCGAGAGTGCACTCAGGGGTGGGGAGGGGCAGAGGGAGAGAGAGAATCTTAAGCAGGCTCCACACCCAGCACGGTGTGGGGCTCCATCTCACGACCCTGACATCATGACCTGAGCCGAAATCAGGAGTCGGACCCTTAACCGACTGAGCCACCCAGGTGCCCCAGAGACAATATAGCTTTCTAACATAACAAACAGACTTTTTATATAAAGTAATTTCTAGAAGAGGGTTAAAGGAAAACAATCAGACTGGACCCGAGTCCAGTGTATAGAGGGCAGCTTGGCTTCATGGACACATGGGGTGGGGGGTGGGGGAGGAGTCGGAAGAGCTGAGTCCCAGCTGTGAGGCACCAGGCAAGTCCAGAGACCTCTGTTCTCCATCTGCAATTGGGAGTGAGGCCTAAAAGGGGTGTGGGTAAGATCAAGTGAAATAAAATGCGTGCAAGAGTTTTCTTGTTACAAATGTTCGAGGGATTGCAATTGTGCAAACAGGATCTACATCAAAAGATCACAAGAGAGCTGAATGGAAGGTTTAAACTCAAAGTTAGATAGTCGCAACTAGTCACCACGTACTGAACACTTCCTCAACCCTCTGTAACTATACAGTTCTGTGATCCTCTCCCGACAGATGAAATGAGGAAAGAGTCTGAGTTGCTCAAAGCCTCTTAAGTAATAAATGGTACAATATAAAAAGCGCAACTATGAGGAGAATATATAGCAACATGGAAAGTGTTATGAGAAATCTACAAAAGAAAAAAATTGATTTTAGGCTTTAAAAATGTATGTGGCTGGGAGCAAAGGCAAGAGAACAACAGCGAGCCAGGCATCTGACCGGGGCAATATGAGTGCTTTAACATTTTTGATATTCTGTGTTCTTGTTACAATTTTGTCCAGTAAAATGGGGAGAACATTATTGTGAAACTATTTCAAAGGCTAGTCCCCATTTTCTGTTAAAGGACTGTCCTCATCATGTGAGTTTTCTCAAAACCATCCAATATCCAGCTTTTTCCAAGACCAAATGCAAAAACCCTGCTCCTTGGCATTTGCACCTGCAACTTTGTCTCGTTGACCCCAAACTTTCATGTCAGGTGCAACCCTCCATTCATCTTGCCCAACATCCACACTTCCTCCCTGCATTTCAGGAAGTGGGAAGCCTTCTCCGACCACAGCACCCCCATCTTTGTGACCCCTGAAAAGCCCATTTCTGGGGTTGACACTTACGCCTGTAAGTATGTCTGTACATATTTTTGACTTCTTTGCATGTTGCTTTCCCTGCCCTACGAGTGTGCTATCAAGTCTGAGTGTGTAAGCAAGGACCGCCGTACACAGTATGCAGAAAGCAGAAAGTACCTACTTAGCAAACGGATGAAGAAGGGAGAGCAGAGAAGGACATTCTTGGGTGTCCTTCCTGCTAGGTCCAGATCCCCAAACATTGCCCCAGGTGCCAGGGGTGGGGCTGCTTAGGAGAAGAAAACCCTTCCACCTGCTACAACCTCAGGGGCCCTTCCAGAAAGCGCCTGAGAGCTGACTCTCATTGCGCGGTGCCCACTCTGGCTGTTCTAGGATGTTAGCAAGAAGCCAGTGGATGACTTCCGGTCCGCTGCAGTGAAAAGAAAAGGGGCCCTTTCGGCTCTGCGTTCATGTTTCTATCCTACACCCAGGAACAGAAGTAATGCAGCCTTGGGTTGAATTAATTATGACTGAACTATTTTTTAAAAGCATGAGACTGAAAATGGAGGGCCGGTGGAAGGTTAGGGTGATTTCGCCTCCTCCAATTGGTTTCTACCTTTGCCTAAGGGTCAACAAAAAATAATTCCAACCTGGATGTGAAAGCCTGGAAGGTATATAATACAATCAGGAAAGCTAGCAAATGCAAAGGCGGTGTGGGGTGGGGTGGGGAGGTCGGTGGGACAGGGTTAGGAATGGCGACGACGGGTTGTAATCGCTTCCTCTTCTGGGACCTCAGCCAAACTGCCTAGAGGCTGCCTTCTTTCTGCCCAGAGCCAGAGTGAACTTGTCAAGGCACCGTGAACCCCTGTGTCGCGGGTGAAGCGGCAGGATGGGGCCGGCTTTAGGAGCGTCCTGTTTGGGGTACCTCAGTACCCGAACCTCCTCTTTCAGGTATACGTGGGATCGTGATTCGATGAAACTAGAACTCCTCCGTCCGGGAGAGGGGTTGGGGCGCGCCTCTGTTTCTCGATGTCAAACCGGGTCCGAGGGATCCGCGAAGGTGGCGGCTACGGAATGGCTGCGCGATCGTGAACCTTCTCCGGAGACAACCGCAGTTAGGGTTCTCTCCGCAGGGGGGAGGCGGGGAGCCCGGCGGGGCGGCGTGAAGGCCTGGCTGGTGTTGTGGCGGGTGCCTGGGCCGCCACCCCCTCCCCCACCCGCCCTCCCCTGTGCAGCCCGGCTGTGGGTGGGGGCACCTCTCCAACCCGCCCCTGCGCGCGGACACTTCTCGGCGCTCCCGGATTCCCAGCCCTGTGACAGCCCGTTGCCCCGGGGACGGCGCGGAGAGGTGGGAGGGACGGGCGCGCCGAGCCCAGCTGGACTCCTGAGGGGGTCCCACTCTCTTTTTTTCTTCCACTGGGAAGGAGGTCCACGAGGGTTCAGAGCAGAGGAGCCAAAAGGGGGCTGCGACCCAAGGAGGGACTGGGTAGGGCGACCTGGACCCCTCACTGTCCTCCCGGGGGCACGCAGCGACCCCTTCCACGCCCGCACCCGCCGGGTCCCCACGAGTCCGGGGCGGCGCGCGCGTGTCCCCTGCCGGGAAGCCCGGATCCCGCGCGCCGCGCGCCATGGAAGCAGCTAACCTCTCGGTGGCCGCCACCGGCGTCGCCCTTCCCCTGGGATCCGAGGCCTGCAGCATCGGCCCGAGCCCCGGCGGGGTCGTCGGGTCGACCCCGGGCGGTGCCGCCCTGCCGGGCCGCGAGCCGCCTTTCTCCGTCTTCACGGTGCTGGTGGTGACGCTGCTGGTGCTGCTGATCGCGGCCACTTTCCTGTGGAACCTGCTGGTTCTGGTCACCATCCTGCGCGTCCGCGCCTTCCATCGTGTGCCGCATAACTTGGTGGCCTCGACGGCCGTGTCGGACGTGCTGGTGGCGGCGCTGGTGATGCCCCTGAGCCTGGTGAGCGAGCTGTCGGCCGGGCGGCGCTGGCGGCTGGGCCGGAGCCTGTGCCACGTGTGGATCTCCTTCGACGTGCTCTGCTGCACCGCCAGCATCTGGAACGTGGCGGCCATCGCCCTGGACCGCTACTGGACCATCACGCGCCACCTGCAGTACACGCTGCGCGCCCGCCGCCGCGCCTCGGCGCTCATGATCGCGCTCACCTGGGCGCTCTCGGCGCTCATCGCCCTGGCGCCGCTGCTCTTCGGCTGGGGCGAGGCGTACGACGCGCGGCGCCAGCGCTGCCAGGTGAGCCAGGAGCCCTCCTACGCCGTCTTCTCCACCTGCGGCGCCTTCTACCTGCCGCTTGGCGTCGTGCTCTTCGTCTACTGGAGGATCTACAAGGCGGCCAAGTTTCGCTTCGGCCGCCGCCGCCGCCGGGCCGTGCTGCCGCTGCCCGCCACCGTGCAGGTGAGGGGCGGGCCGCCCGACCGGGGCGCGGGGGGCGGGGGTCGCTGCGGGAGGAGGCGGCTCGGCCAGCCGGAGAGTCGGCTGCGGAAGCTTGCACACTTGGGGCGCGCACCTGGAGCGCCCGAGGAGCTGGGCATCTGCTGTCTGAGGGGCGCCTCCCCTGCCGCTGGCGCGCACGCGTGGGGCTGGCCCCCGGCGGACCTGGCGCGCGGGGGAAGGGCTTTCAGCACCCGCGCGCTAGGGCTGGCGGGGGCGGGGGCGCGGGCGCCGCCGAGGCACGCGGCTGTAGGGGGTCTGCAGGGGCCGCGTTTCTGGGGAGTGGTGAGGGCACCACCGATGAGCCGAGCCCTTGGGGCTTTGCCCAGGAGCGATTGGGTCCCTGTGACACCGGCAGCCGCCAGCTTCCGGGTGGCGGGACTGCGGCGGGCTGGGAGCGCGTGCAGAGGACCACATCCCTGCGTTTTCCCTTCGCCGCCGCACCCAGGTCCACCCTCTGCAGTCCAGAAACGGACTCTCCAACTCTGGCGGCCAGCTCCCTGCCAAAGAGGGAAGTGAGCGGAAAATAGAGCCCAAGTATCATGTTCCTCTCACTACCCCAACCTCAGGGTTTTCCTCTAGCGGCTTTGGAAGGAGCTAGAACCGTCCGTTCAGATCCCAGCTCGGGACATTGGGGGCAGGTGCTTAACCTCTGCGGGCCTCTTTTCCACGTCTTTAAACAAGCTCATTCCTGCTTCATAGGGCTCTTGGTGAGGAAGGATCTGACGAGATGGAGCACGTGAGGCCCCAGCACAGTGCCTGGCACCCCGGGGTGGCAGAGCTGGCGGGGGTAGGGATCACCGGGGTGTTGCCTGGCAGTCCGCAATGGGCCAGAATCAAACCCTGGAAACGAATGAGACAGAGGAACACGGATTTGGCAGAACGTCTCTGATTGCATTTAGAACTGGAGCTTTCTGCCTTTTGGCAAGACCCTAATAAATATCAGCTCCCTCCTCATCCTAGAAGCCCCAAACTTTCCCTTTTTTGGGGGGGGGGTGGTGGTCAGGCTCCAAGTCCTGGAGAATAATAATAGGACTTACTGCCCCTTTCCAAATACAATAAAATAGTTGCCCTTTGTCCTCAGGCATACCTTCCAGGACCCACAGTGGATGCCTAAAACCACAGATATGCTATTTTTTCCTATACATACATACTGAAGATAGAGTTTAATTCATAAATTAGGCACAGAGGTTAACAACATACCTAATAATAAAATAGAACAATTTTACCAGTATACTATAATAAAAATTATGTGACTGTGATCTCTCTCTCAAAAATATTGTACTGTACCCACCCTTCGTCCGGTTATGCTATGAGATGATAAAATGCCCACGTGAGGAGATGACATGAGGTGGTGACGTAGGCATCGTGACGTAGTGTTAGGCTACTACTGACGTGGATGAATCAGGAGGATCATCTTCCAGACCTCGGTTGATCACAGATAACTGAAACTTCGGGAAGGGAAGTGAAACCATGGCTAAGGGGGTGGGGGTTGGGGGATGGGGGGTGTGCCAGAGACCACTGTGCATGGCCCAAGGAAGGACTGCCGGTGGGCGGGGGCAGGGAGAAAGAGACAGTAAGGTTTCTGTTGTTAGTTTTGTTTTAATTTTGGAAAGTTAACTCAGATACGTAGGCTACGCAAACATATGTGTTTTTAAAAAGCAGGCTTTTTCCTCTTCATTAAATGGCAGAGGGATTTTGTAGCATAAAATAGGAATGTCAAGACTAGAATTGGAAAGTGTTGGTAGGGGAGAGCTTTATTCAGAATTAATGATGTTCTTTGAAAGGTCCCTTGGAAATGCCTGGGGTGATTATAGCTTTTCTGTCTGATTGCGGAGGTAGGGCTGATTTTTAATAGCTACATCAACCCAATGTGCACCTAGAGAAATCATGGCGGAATGGATGCCAGAAAGGCTTGCCAAACCTGAGTTGGGCATTCATTTTTGAAAGACCCCATCCAGGCAGGTGATACTGAGAAGAAGAGAGTGAACAGAAGCCTGGCCAATCCGGGGTGGCCGTGGGTGGGGAGAAAGAGCTCGGGGAGGCAGGGCCAGTGGTGTGATTTTCCACTTGCTGGCAGTGGGACCCGGGGCAAGCCCTTCCCCCGCTCTGGGCTGCAAGTTCTCTTCTCTAATACACAGTATGGGTCTAAGCCCTGGCTGGGGCTCTCCAGCCATGTGATGCTGAGACTGTAGAGGGGATTGTGTTGGACAGCATCCCGCTTCCTTAGGCTTCGGCCAGCCCTCACTCAAATGCCTGGGTAATGCTGCTCCGTCAGCACCTACAAGGTTTCTGACCACAAGACACCCAAACGGAAACTTAAAATAATATGTCTGGAATACTATCTACCTTTCCCCCGCCCCTCCTGCTGTTTCCTGCACTCTAGGGAAAATGAGTTGAATTTAGGTCCTGAAACGTGTCGGTACTGCTTTCTGTGGGTGATGGAAGCACTTATGGGGTCTGAAGGCTCTGGTAATGGGGCTGTGTACATCCTTCATCTTTTCCGCGATTCTGTGGCCAGGTCCCAACACTGAGAAATGATCAGAAAGGGACCAGCAAGAGTTCCTGTGCAGTGATTTAATTCTCTGGGGCAAAATGCAGTTTTTGAAAGTAGAACCGGAAACCAACGTTTACTAAGTGAGTCCTATAATCCAGACACTGTATTTGATGCTCTACATCCATCTTCTCTTTCATCTCCATGACCCAGCTGGGTTGACCCTATCGTCTCTATCAGTCTGGATCAGCTGAGACATGCTCAGCCACATATGACCCCCAAATGGACAGCTTATCTCACTCTCAGAGTTCAGTGGGGGTCCCCTCCTGCAGAGCTCTCCACCAGGCAGCAACTCATGGACCTGGACCCCTTGCCATCTTCGAGCTTTGCGGTCTAGAACGACTGGCTTCCAAGGTTGCCGTGTGAAGGCAAGAGATGGATGGAAATACAGCAGCTTTTAACTGCCTTCCCCCAAAGCGGACACATGACAGCTCTGTGCTCGGCCCATTGGCCAGCCACTGGCTGTGACATCCAGGGAAACACGTGGATTATTTGGTGAACACTGTCTTTAGCACCAACCCTCATTTTCCACTTGATAAAACTAAGTCGCCACAGAGTCAGTTCATTTAAGACCACAGAGTTAAAGTGTGGAGAAGCTGAGGTCACTGTTCTTTACTTTGTCATTCCTCCACGCTGTCTGTCTCCAGGGATTTAACTGCTGAGCACTGTTCCACTGCCCTCAGGTACCTCACCTTCATAGGAAGGAGGCAGCCATATCTCAGTCAAGGTGGGGCAGCATGGGATCAGGGTCTCAAAACTCTGCTCGTGAACTCTGTCCTTTCCAGGAGAGCTGACCACAGCTGAGCACGGAGGCACTCCCCCGCCTTCTCTCAGGAGACAGGGTTCATTCCTACCCTGCCCTCCTTTCTTTCAGCTTTCTAGAATGCGTACCACATATAGAGTATGTCCTGCTCGCCTCCCCCCCCCTCAAGCAACCCCCATGGGTCATGATTGTTTCCCATTGGCCTGTGCCCTTTACTATTGAGAGGAAGAAAAAAGCAAAATCAATGGAGATTATGTAGTTGGTTTTTAAAATGTGACATCAAAAACTGTGGGTTTTTTTTCCAGTTGTTTGATTACCGTGCACAAGCTGATAAGCAGGGTCTGATTATTCGTTAGGCACAGTAGGTGCACTTACCCAGAGCCGCAGTACTTTTAGGGGTCCATGGAAATGGTTCAATTTTAATTTCTTTTAAAATTAGGGGAAGAATGAATATAAGAGCAATGAATATATAATAATGTATCCAGCCTCAGTTATATTAGTCTTCATAATAATATGGTCATAAAATATAATTTTTAATATTTTTTAATGGAAGAAGGGGCCCACAGAGGCAGAGATGCCTAGGGCTCATGAATGTGATAATGCAGCCCTAGCTGACACCCTTCACTCACTCACTCATTCAATCAATAAACATGTGGTGGGAGACAGTGTGCCCAGTGGTTAAGAGCATGGGATTTGGAAGCAAGGAGACCTGGATTTCAATTCTTTTTGTGCCACTTATTAGCACTGTAGCTGAGTGACTCAGTCGAAGCCTGCATTTCCCCATAGGTAAAATGGAAATGTTGCCACCTGCCTCATAATATTCTTGTGATGAGTAAATGAGATAATGGTGTATACAGAGTCTCTAAAATAGTGAACCATAAATGCAAGCTGCTAGCATCTTCATTATTGTTCTCTAAAATTCCTCTTGTAAGTTCTAAAAAATGAATGATGATTTTATTCCTCTTACTGCTATTACTCACCATCCTAATAGGGGAGTTACTTTTCACTTGTTTAACAAATTAGCCCAAAGCTTAGTGGTGTAAAACAACAAACATGTACTAAGTTTCTGTGGGTCAGGCTTGGGAATGGCTTTGACCTTCTGGGCCCAAGGTCTCATGTGGTTGTAGCCAAGATGTCGGGTGGGGCAGCAGTCATTCCAAGGCTTGACTGGGGCTGGAGACTGCTTCCAAGATGGCTGACTCACAGGGCTGTTAGCAGGAGGTCTCCCCAGGGCTGCTTAAGCGTTGTCACAGCATGGCGCCTGGCTTCCCTTCTTCCCGGAAAGCACAGTAAGGAGGAAACTGCAATGCCTTTTACAGACTAGTCTCAGAAGTTACATGAGATCTCTTCCCCTATAGTCTAGTCACTAGAAGTGAGTCACCAACTCCAGCCCACACCCAAGGCAAGGGGAATTAGGCTCCACCTTTGGAAAAGTATCAGTGAACTTGTGAACAGATTTTAAAACGACCACCGTAAGACACACAGATGGTGTTCAAAATTACTTGAGCGACTGTTACTGACCTGCATATTAGGCACTGTCGTAGCCTCTGAAGTTTCAAAGAATGAGTGAGCAAGGTCTCTATTCTCAAGGGATTAATTTTAATAGACCACAACTATATAATTAAAAATTCAATAAAATCTTATAGG